AAGATGTTAAGCTTAATAACAGAAGCCTGGGGAGTCCTGGTCAACCTTTGGTATTTTTGATTACACATGCTCTGCCTTAGAGACACAAGTAAGAAAGGAGCAGTGCATAAGGTGAGAACTTATGGGGTCCTGTAGGAGAAACCACTTGGCCTGGATGGCAGGAAGTGCCACCTTGGCTGCCCTGCAGACCTGGGGCTTGCTTTTGCCTGTTCACTTGCTCTGTGAGATATTTAAATACTTCCCTTTATAGGAGAGCAAGGGAAATACCCTAAAAACTGGAGAAAACTAATGTTTTGATATTCTTACATTGTAAAGGAAAAGCAAATATTTTGACTAAGGGCTGAATAAGCATCTAGATCAGGTTAATGAGATATGTGGAAAATGATGAAAGTTTAAGGGAGCTGAATGAGCTAATACAAAGAGAGAGAAATTGCAGAAAGGTGACTGTTTCTTTCAATGTATTTTTAGGAAGCTGTAATAGTATAAGGAACAGACAGAAAGGGGTTCATCAGTAGCCATTTCCTGGGATGTTGCACTTGACAAAAAAAAAAAATCTCTAATGAAAGCAGACACTAAACAAATATGATTAAACATGGCAGGTTTTGCCTTTGGAATGCTGGAAGCACTATCTCACTATGAAAACTTAATAGACATCAAAGAAGGTAAGGCTCCTTTGAACTCTTTCATAGTTTTTTAATGAAAATATCACTTTCCCTATAAATTCTATTTAATTTTTCCTATAGCTACAGTGAACAATTTATTTTGGCTGTAACACAGATCCTTTTTTGTCTGAGACTATACTCAGAAACTTTCTTTAGAGTGTCAAAGTATTCTCAAGAAGATTTCAGATTTACCTAACTAAATGAAACCAGAACTACAGTGGCAACTGTAGTGATTCAGAGAATGTTACAGTAGAATGAAACAGTATCACAATCTAAGGCAGGATTCTGGAATAAAGTGACAGGTAATATAGCTATTAGCATATGAATAGGAAGATGGATGGAGTATTATTAATGTCAGGACAAGAAAAGATTTATTGTTCAATTAACTCTCTAAATGAACTGACACAGTGGGGTTTGTAACTCAAAGCACAGTATTGGCAGCAAATTGGTGAGGGGATGGTATTGCTTTATCCTTTGCATTGTCTCCCAGTGTTGAGATCTCTTCTGCTTTTCTCCACCTGTAGAAAACGCTCAATTTCAGTCTCATAGCCAATGAAGGCAAAAGAACTTATTTTCCTGAGCACCCGCATAGTGATCATATTTCAGTCAGCTTTCCTGCTGTCCATCAGCATCAAGAAACCTTCAGACTGCACTAAAGTTAGCACTAACCCCAAGTGTCTCCCAGTCACACATGCTAGGGCCCTAATCCTTTGAGGACAGTCATACCCAAGGCAGAGAGAACTGACCAGAACCTCCTGAGAGGCGAGAGAGGAGGGACTTCTCACCTACCCTGTGGCGTGTATTTTCCGTAAGTTTGCTTTTGCCTGTGCCCAGTTCAACACAGAATGTCTAGCCTTTGGGACTATCTAGGTCCTATATACAATAAGGCATCAAGTTTGCACACTCTGTATTGCTTCCTGGATGATCTTTCCTCTAGTGATAAAGGGAGCCAGTGCACCTAATATAGGCTTTTTCAATACCCTGCAATGCCACCTTCAGTATTCTTCTGGATAAAGATTCCTAAATTCCAGGTAAACTTCAGCAGAATTTAGGCAGCCTAGTATTTTAAAGTCTCATTTTTAAACCTTTTGCCATTTTACCTCTTGGCAATGAGTGTGTCAAGAAGCTCAGAGAGAGGTCCACAAAACACTATGGGAGTCTGTAACAGAGAGCTCTAGTAACCTGGTGGAGATTTCTCTCCTTTAAGTGAAGAAATTTCTGCTATTTCCTTTGAGATCATTTGGTTTTTGGTACAGACACACAATCCAGCACAATGGAAGCATAGCAATTACTTTTTAAACAAAAAAGGGTATAAACTAACAAATTTTAACCTCATGAAAGGGCAAAGTGTTGTGGCATATGCCAGAGGTAGCCATGCAGTGAATTTCAATGTATCCTTTGCTCATTACCAGCTGTTGTCTAAATCCAGCTTCTGAGTTTCTATATACCAAGAATCTCGAGCTGGAGTTCCCCACATGCCACTTCTCTTCTACTTATTAACCCTATTTCACACACTCAAGTTTGAATATGACAGTCTTGTAGCTTTCTGCAAGATATTCAGACAGAATTATTGTCACAGAAACATGGAAAACAGAGAGGAGAATTTATAATATGTTGTTAAAGTTGTACATAACATTCAAAATCCAGAGATATACCCCTCATCCCAATGCTACTGTTATTATAAAATTATTTTCATAGCATATGAAAGTGGAGATTGTGCTTTTTGCTGTAATTTGGGCAATGAGATTTGTGACAGTACCTTGTATGCTTCTATGGGTTTGGGTTTTTTTTGAAAGAGAGAACATAGGGAGGGTAGGGTGATGGCAAATGTCTTGCTGGCCTAAGAAGAAGCATTTACAGCTTCATTTCTTGAAAGCATGGTATTCTTGTGCCAGGACCAGAACAGAGCTCTGAAGAAGATATTTCTGTGAACAGAACACAGGAAGAACCACCATCAACTATTACACCACACTGGATGATTTTAAGTCAAAGCATTGACCTAGTTAATTGTAGTTCAGGTTTCAGCAAAAAATATTCTCAATATAATCAAATAATCTGTTTTCTTTATTCAGTCAAGGTGAAAAGTGACCACTAGATTATAAATTGTGAAGAATTTAACATCTTGCACTTGAAGCATGCTTTCAATCAGTGTTTAATTTGAATGTAAGAGCAGATTGTGTTTCACTTCCCAAGACTGTCTCACTTCTGAATTTTCTCCAGTAAAAAGGTACCGTTTAATCAGCTACGTTTGCTCTGTGCGGCACTGTCTAGTTTAAACTTTGGTTCCTGTTATGTTTTATCCTCTGGCTTAAAAAGCCTATTAGTACCTGCTGTTACATCCCTGTGATGGTACGTACACAATGTAATCACATCACCTCTTTCCTTGAAAAGCTGAAAAGATTGGGCACCTGAAGTCTCTCCCTGGAGAGGAACTACTTCAGATTATTTTTAAGGTTCCTTTCTTAACCTTTTCAAGGTTCTCAATATCTTTTTCTTAAAATGCAGATACCAAAACTGGACAGCTTGCAACATTTGTCTCACTGGTGTTTCAAGCAGAGGAAAAATCTACTATTTCCTTCTTGTTTCTCCTCTGAAACATCCAGAGATAGCTGTATTCTCTTTAGGCCCCTTTTCCCTAGGAATATAGGAAAATTCTTTCCTATTCTGATCCCTACACCCTCCCCTGTGTGCAGAGTAAACCACACACTGCTCCAGAGTGGCTGGCACTTTGTCACCTGGAGATGTGTTTTTACATTAAGCTCTATTAAAGCACATTCTGTTTCAACTAAGTTCATCTTATCTGGTCCCTAATAGATTACAGTGTAATGAGAATGTCATGTATCATTGCACAGCACACTTGGCGAAAATCTATTATGGACACGGATGTGTAACTTTACTAACCACACTGATAACTTCCTCACAAAAACATGAATCATATTTGCTTGGCAGGCCACTTCCCATAAAAACACTTTGTGCATACATTGGATTTTTTTTTTCTCTTGTTTAGCTTTGACTTGGTTAATGGCAGCCTAATCAGCCTGTAACTAACGGGTCACCACTATTAGTTTTTCTGGACCTTATCAGGAAACTGAACACTAAATCTTTCAAGATTTTCCTGTTATGCCAAGATTTACTTGAAGTAGTTAGTGTCAAAAAGATAGTTACACTCTCAATCCTCCTGTCCATTCGTTTGGTATTGTATTTGTACATGTATGCCATTTTTCTGGGTCTGCTGTTTTTCATATGTTCTTAAGAGATGTTTCTTCTCTTTTGAGTCCATAATCTAGCAAACGTCATCCCTTTCTTTCCAAATGCAATCCAGATTACAATATATACAATTATATATATTTTAGCCTTCTCTTCTAATAATAATCCTTACATACAATCCTAAATATACAAATGCTTTATTGCCCATAGCTCTTCCAGGCACGGATTTTCCCCTTAGGGCTTTTGCTTCCCTGGTGAAATCTCAACACATTCTAATTAATGTTGATTGCCATCTACTTTTGCATTTCAATGTTAGTTCTACATGGTAATTTTTTCTTCTCATTTATTGACTGTTTTTTCAAGAATGGTCTTTCCTTCTTTCAAGAAAGGAAGGTTTTCCTTTAGCTTAATGGTAAGATTCGGTAAATCAGCATATTTCCCTGTAAACTTCTCTATTTTATTCCCCTATTCACATTTTTCTCCCAAATGCACTTTTTTTTTTTTCAGCTTTAGGGAATTAACAGCATATGCGTGTGTAAAATATGGTTAAGGATTGCTTGCTTGGATCATGGGCACCTATGAACATAATCTGGAATGAGGCAAATATTGACACGAGTGAGATACTCGGGCACTCATTGAATGAAAGTGAATGGTATTTCCAACATCAGGTTTTACTTACAGGGGCTAAAATAGGCACTACCTATAAATCTTGTAAGACATTATTTTGGTACTGAACATAGTGATAGGAAAGTGGAATTTTGGCCAACATTTGTACTACTATAGACAGACAAGGTCCAGCTGTGTTTTGATCCTTTTGAAAGGTGTCAGTCACGGCCAAAATTCTTTCGGGGTGTTTGATACTCTAAAAATCCCCAAGCCTGGGCTTTCACCGAACCAAAATTAAACACATCGTTTTTAGCTGCCTCCAGAGAGCAGCTCCATCATTCTTCGAGGCTTTCTGTTCTCCTGTCAGTCACACCTGATTTTAGTAAACGCGTCTGTCCTTCCCATTCCGTAAAGTACAGCCGAAAACGTATTCGGTGTGTATTTAAAAACCTCTGTATCAACGACCACCCCTCTGGGCTGCGCGCCATCGTTACACTGTAACACTGGCATTTGCAATTTTCTTAGCGTCTCCTGCAGCAGTCGGGAAAAGTGGGAAGAACCAGAAGAGAGCTGAAGTGGAAGCGGGCGCTCGGAGGTGCCGGGCTGCGCTCCCGTTTCCCCGCCCGGATCCCGGCAGGACTGGACCCCCCGTTTCCCCGCTGCCGCCAGGAGGCGCGGCAGCGCTGCTCCCGCCGCCGCCGCTTCCCCCTCGGCCGGGAGCCCCTCTGCGGGGCCGGGCAGCGCGGCCCCTCTGACAGGAGCCCCCCGCCGCCTGCAGCCCCTCCACCGGGAGCCCCTCCGCGAGGCCGGGAAGCGCAAACCCTCCTNAGGACGCCCGCGGGCAGGTGGCCCTTTCCGCCTCGCCCGCCGACCGCTTCGCCTGCGACCCCGGCACCCGCTTCAACGCCCCGGCGCCGGGCAAGAGCTGGGTCGCCCTGATCCCGCGGGGAAACTGCACCTACAAGGACAAGATCCGCCACGCCGCCGCCCAGAACGCCTCCGCTGTCGTCATCTATAACGTGGGCTCCAGCAACGCCAACGAGACCATCACCATGCCCCACGCAGGTAAGCCACGCCACCCCCAGGCGTGTGCTGAGGGGGAAGACGGATGGACCTCCTTTTCTAGCTCGCTCTGCCGTCCCGCATCCTTGGGGTAGGAGCTGCTGCGGGAATGTGTCCTCGCACTTCCTGACAGGGAGCGGGATCAGCTGTGGGCGTCGTTGGGTGGTGGGTGCCCATGGTGGGGACCATGGAACTCCTCACCATGCTGCCGTGGTAAAGGATGGATGTGCTGCTAGCATATCCATAGCAATGCACACCGGTGCTCCAGGGATGAAAAGTTTGGGACATGTAAAGTTTGCGCCCAGTCGGAGGAATGGGACGCTGATCCCGCTGTGGGGGAGCGGTGTTTCGTTGTGTCCTGAGAGTCCTCTGGCGGGTGCCGTATGGGATCGAGTGTGATTGAGAACTTCGGAAGAGAAGTTGTAGTGTTGTGCTGCAGGCTTATCAGGAGGTACAATAAAGTAGAGAACACGATGTCCACAGTCTCAGCTGCGATAGTGTAAAAACACTAAAATTCGAGTAGGAATGCCGAGTATCTGATTTGGTGAGAACATGAGATATGGTGTCCAGGACTGGGATGGCGGGAGTGTTTCACTCTCCCAGGTGAATGTTCTGGTGGAGTTTGCGCTTGCAGTATCAGTGCATAGGTGGTCAGGTCCCAAAATGTGCTTGTCAACTGGAACCCGTCAAAATCCAGTCATTCAAAATAACCTAAACCCTGGCTTATGCCCGCAAAAAAAAACAACCCCACTGTTTCTGTGCCAGTGCTTGATCTGAAATAGTGTCTTAAAAACAGTTCACTGGATTTATATTTAGGGACAATGTTTTCTGCCAGGGGTCACTTGACTTTTATACCAGCTGCCTATGCCATGGAGATAAAATGCCACCTATTGTGAAATCTCAGTTTGGTTTCTATCCAGTAACTAATCCTGCCAGTTGAATCTTAGTAGAGTTGGGATAAATTGAAACACAGAAATGCTGCAGAACAGGATGTTATTCTAATGGCATGTTAAACTTCCACAGTAAACTAGCTAGCTTGGATGTGCTGAGAAGCAATTTGTTGCCTAACCATAGTGCTAAAATACTGCTGATGCAAAAGCAGCGATTTTGGAACCTCTTGTGTCCAGCCTGTTTCAGAGATTAACTATTTTTGGGGGGAAAATTAGTGTTTCTTTGGTAGGGTTGGTGGAAGAAGGGGCTTTTTTTAGTGTTTCCTTTTGGTTTTGTGAGACAAGCAACTCATAACCTCTTGAGCTTCCTAAAACTATGTTTTATAACCTGCCCATGGTTTAGCAGCTGTTCGGATTATACTTCTTGCTACTTTAAGTATCACAGATTATATACTAAGAAGTATAAAGCAGTAGGAGCTTGGCATACTTATGCATCCTCAAAGTAAAGCTCAAGCTGTTTTAAAACTTAAGATGCAGCATAGTTTGCTTTTCTCTAGTAAGTTTCTCTAAAACTGCCAACATGTTGGATTAATTAATGGTTTGCCTGTTTTTAAAGTATACACTAAGCTGTTTTCCCACACAAATGGCGTTTTATTAAGAAATGTGGGAGTAAAAAATGTGTCTAACCTTTTAAAATGTTGGCACTTGGGTTTGTTTTAAAGTCTAAGATGAAGTAGGAAAGGAAACTTTCTTACTGAAGGTGGCCTCAAATTTAAAAAATATGAACATAGTATCAATTATCCTGGGAGCAGCTTCTTTTTTGTCATATAATTTCACAGGATTTGTTCTGAGAATACTTTCTAGTACTGAATTGACACCCAGCAGTAGGTTTGTACAGCATCAGAGGCTGAAATGAGAGGAAACTTTCTGGAGTTGTGGAACATGATCACTGAGACTGAAGGACTTTGCTCATTGATTTGATGAGGTTGTCTTCATTCTAAGGATTTTTATTCAGTGAATTTGAATTATGGTTGTTGGTGAAACCATTACGTTAGTGAAAGCCTATCCTCTGCACATGGTCAAAACTGAGAGTAGTTTTAGAGCACAAGTCTGATGGAACAGAAGAAAAAACAATTATTCTTAGTTATTTAGCAATCTACCAGGAATTCAGAACTTTACTCTCCCTCCGGTAACACTTTTACTCTGGGACAAAGTGAATAGTCAGGCTGTGTAAAATTGTGGCTGCGAGTTTCTAACTCACAGCCTTTGACATTTGCTTGTTCCTGGTCTAAATGATAGCACAAGATTCAAGGGAAAAATGAATCAGTTTCTTGGTTTCTGAGTTCAGCAGCATCTGCAGTGTTCTGCCCACGCAAAATCCTGGAGTGGGAAGAAGAAAATTCCATCCTGGAAAATACTTGGAGGTTGAAAGGGAAGGGTGAAATATGACCTAAAAAGCAATTTAAGAGTCAAAAGAAATATGATGTTACTCCCCTTTTATTTTCTGTTTTCCTTTCACAGATTTCTTTTGAGGTTTCATAGAAGCTTGAACTCTTCCTATACTGAAAAATGTATCCTGTTGCATAACAATGTGGCTTCTGCCCTTATTAAATAACTTTTACTCCTAAGAGGTTTTTTTCCCTTACATACATTCTTCTGTATGTTTTGCTGTCTCTTATTGTCACTTTACCTCTTTGTGCTGCTTTTTCTGCTCCTCTCACCCTTGTTTCTTCATTTCTATCCCCATGCTTCATTCCCTGCCTTAACCACTTTACCATTTCATAGTGCTTTCCCTTTGCCACTTTCTTCCCAAGGCACTTTCTCTTGCCAAAGAAGTTAGCTCATGGCTCTATGTTTAATTATATTTCCTGTTTTCTGCTACGGTGCATGCCAATGACCTTTTGCTCACGTGGTGACTCCTGATTTTGAAATGTATAGGCAACTGTAGCAAGATACTGTGTGTGAAGTTGAAGGAGGGTTCATAGACCTCCCTCCCACCACCCCCAAATCAAAACCAGAGTAGTATAATATCAAAGCTTGTTGTGGAAATCTTAAAATATGACTCTCCAGAATTTATTTATAGAGCATACAGCACAAAATGTGCAATTTGAACCAGTTTCATCACCCCATGGAAAGCCTTTGCTTTTAGGGAGCTTTTACTGAGATCACTCCTTGCACACCCAGAAGGATGAGGTGGAGTTAAGACATCTGCGTTCACAGGGAATATGGAGATCTGGGATTCTCCTGCTAGGATGTCCTTAGCTTGTATATCATCTGCTACAGCCTGTGCAAACTGGCATCTTTATTATTATTGGCTTGAAGGATGGCATAGGAGCTGTATGACTTTATTTGCCTTTTGACTAAGTAGGCTCCAGCCAAAGGAAAAAAGGCATCTAGAATTTCTATTTTAGATGCTTTGTATTTCTCCTAGATCAACTTTCCTAGCAAAAAAGTAATCTAATAATATAGAGGATGTTCTTTTTTATCCAGAAGAATAATCCATGGGGTTTCTCATTGAAATTTTTTCTTACTCAGACCAAATTAACCATTATCTAGGTTTGAAGTCACAGTAGACAGTGTGACTACATTTAATAACTTAGTATTAATTTGCAGTTGTCTGACTACTTGTTGTATCGTATATCCTAACATTTCCTCTGAGCTCTGAATAGAGACAGTGAGAGAGCCTTCCAGAAGGTGATTTGAGGTGAGAACTTTCTACAGTTCATATTTGAGGGAACCTACATGGACCATTTCTAACTTGGGAACCTCTCAGGTGCTTGGGGCAAGGGAGGAATGTTAACTGTGACTGTACATGATTCATATGTGGGCAAAAATCAAACCTAAAATATTCTACATACTTTCTAAGATTCAGTTTGGATTCTGAGGTGCATAAGATTATTTCACAGAATGGATATTGTTAATACATGAAGTAAATTGCATCCTACGTATTTTGCACCAGGAGCATATGTTAGGCAGTTTTGCATTCTCCATATTCTGCTTTTCTAGTGCATTCCATCACAAATTTTAAATCACATGCCTCACCTATGACAACCCCTTTGCAATAAAGGGCAGATACCTTGTTCTTTTTGTAGTGGCTCATACACACATCAGCAAGTAGCAGCTGTATCTTTTAGACACTGATCTCATAAGTGGTCTAAGATGATTCTGACTTCTCTCCTCCCTCTCTGGCCCTCAAGTGCAGTGGGTGTATGTGCCAGACTTCATGAGGAGGGCATGGCCCATCCCATCGCAAATTCAGATGTGTCTCTTTGTATGTGCTGTAAAGGGGCCCAGACTCAGCCTGGGAGCATTCAGCTCAATATCAGTCTCTGTGTTAGTAATAGTCTGGGCTTTGGGCTGCCCTGTAGATTGGTACTGATGTGCAAATTAAACACCGAAGTTGAATATTTCTCTCTTTACGGACTTAATTCAGTACTGTAGCTGCATTAGTTTCCTTATTAAAACAATTGTTTTTCTAAACTTTTTTGGAATTCTAATGAGGAAAATGTGCTGAGTGCATTCACACTGAATTTACATATGGATAATTAATGGAGGGCTGGAAATTTCAGCTTTCCAGAGTCTGCCATAATTTTTTTCTATTCCAGGCACCAAGATTGATTCCTAATAGAAACTCACTTAGTGGGAGAGAGAGATGGAGATTAGTGCATCTCTGAGCCCTATCCATTGAGGTGTTGCTGGGATGTACTGCCATCCTTATGAACTCAGAAGAGCTCCTGGATCAATCATGATGTAGGCATGGCTTTCTGCAGTGTTTGAAAATCTAGTTCTCTGTGTTTATCAAAATTCAGGATATCTAGCTGACAGGCTGTCCCACTGCATTCCCTGGTGAGTCACGCTTCTGCTGCCAGCTCTGCTCTGAAGAGGTTCTAGACTGCTTTACTGCCCATGTTCAGCTGTGGTAGGTGGAGGGGGCACTTGATATGCTGTTAGGTAACTAGTTCAGGTTAAACTGAATTGAAAGGAATTAATTTGACCTTCAAGAACTAGAACAGCAAAGTGTCCCCTGGCACTACTTGGGACAGCCACTTCAGCTGAGGTACTGAGTTTTGTCATTAGATGAGACACTTTTTACCTTATTGAGTCTTTCATCTT